CGGCAGTCCAGCGGGGCTCCCCGGCAGGTCGGCCCCCACCCGCAGCCTTCTTAAAGGGCCCGTGCTGGGCTGCTCCGCCCTCCACCCCGTGCACTTGGTCAGACCCAGGCTCCACCTTAGAGATTTGGGACAAATCCCAGAGGAGCCCGGACCTCCTGAGCTCTGACTCTAGGGCTCCCTGAGAGCTACTTCGGGAGAAGATGTGAGCTGGGCTGGTCCCCTCACCTCAGTCTTCTGCTCCTGCAACAGTTGTGGGTGGGGGCGCCCTCATGCCAGTCCTAGGAGGAAGGACAGGAGCCTTCCACCCCACAGATGCTTTCGGGTTGCTTTGCCTCTGAGGTTTCTTCAGGGCTCCCTTTGGGCAGAGAAGCACCAGTCTGAGATTCTGCACAGCTCTGTTGTGCCCACTGGCATTGCAAACTTGACCTTTTCTGCTCCGCGGGTCCTCAGTGTCCCAGTTGTCAAGGAGAGATGGTCTAGATTCTCTTAAAAGGCAGGAGAGATTCTCAACTCCAAGGTATCATTTGCCTCAAAATAACCCTGCCAGGTGGGTGACAACCACTCCTTCCCCTATTTTATGGAGGAGGAAACTGGCTCAGAGCTGGAAGTGGTTCTGGCAAGGCCCCCAGATGGAGAGGAGGTCCCTGGCTATATGGGAGCAGGACCCCAGGCCTTCTGACTCCTGAATCTGGGTGTTTCAACTTCCTGGGGCTGCCTCCTGGAAATCTGGCCCTGGATTTAGCTTCTACCTAACAGCTTCAGGCTGGGGCCCTGCTCCTCTTGGCTCCCTCCCAGGCAACAACATCAGCCTTGTCCCAAACAGGAGAAAGGGCAATATTATTGCAGAGCTTCTGGTGCCTAAAGGCTCTGCGTGCTCTCTACCTAGCCCCAGCATCAGTGTTGCCTGGCCTCGGTTTCTCTGTCCAGAGAATAGGTGAAAGTGTACCCCTGGAGTGTTTCCCCCTCCCTCTTCCATCAGAATCTCTCTGTCACACTTGGCTGCTTCAGCCCACCCGCAACCTCATCCCACCACTCATGGTCTCCTCAGGGCCTCCCCTTGCCCAGTGCCAGTCCTACCATGTGTATAGCCCTTCAGAGTTTGCAACAAAACTGAGGCCCATTTTGCAAATGAAGAAACTGAGGCTGAGGGAGATTAAGGGACTTGAGCAAGTCTACACAGCTGCTGAGAGGTGGAGCTGGGTTCTTTGACTCCAAGACCAGAGCTCTTACCACTACAGCACAGTGGTAACTCAGGCTCTGGGTTCGAATCCCAGCCCTCTTGCTTAGCTGTCCAACCTTGAGCAAGTCACTTCACCTCTCTGTAGTTCAGTTTCCTCATTTGTAAAATTGGCTGTGAGGATTCGATGCTTTAATGTACCTCACGTGCCTAGCCCAGGTGCCATAGCAGGTGCTCAACACATGCTTGTCCTTCCTCCTCTTTGCCCTGTAGTCCTGCTGCACATCCTCCCAGTTCACATGTAGCTTCCAGAGGCAGCTGCACACAGTAGTGCTCAATAAATGCATGCTGGGGTTGACAAGGAAGCCAGTTACTGCTCTTCTGTGGGGATTTTGGCAAACTCCCATCCAGTTCACTCTAGGAGGCCTGAGGCAGGGCTGTGCTCAGCCGGTCTCAGTGGCAGCAAAGCCATTGACTCCACACTTGTCCCTTGTTTTTCCTTCTTCCCAAGTCAGCCACGCACCTGGTCCTTGTTAGGGGCTAATTACTGGCCAAGTGTGGGCCCAGCCTTGCGGGGACTGCTGAGAAGACGACGTTTGGAGAAGAGCGTTCTTTTTAGGAATGAAGAAAGAAAGGAGAAGACTTTTGCTTTTTTATGAATCAAAAATGTGGGTGGAGATTTCCACCCTCCCCATCTTCTCCCCTCTCCTCCCCTGATCCCCACCCACACACATTTACCCACCACTACCAGAAGTCGTTGGTCTGTCTGTGGAGCCTCCAGACGGAGGTCCCGCCCACAGCTGAGATTCAAGTCAGGATTAGCTCGCAGCCTCCCCCCGCCCCCAGCCCGCCTTGTTGCTAGCTGGGGAGAGAAACACAGGCCTGGAAAAATAAAGGCAACTGGCAGGCAGTAATAACCCACACTCGCTTCTCTGCTGGGGCTTCTCAGTTTACAAAACATTCACCTGGTCTCTTGACAACCCTGGGAAATGTGTGTGTTGGGGGACAGTGTTCCCTTTTCACTGATGAGAAAACTGAGGCTCTAGTAGGAGAGGAATGCTGGGGCTCCAGCGCACACAGGCCTGGCCTTTGTTCAGCCTGTCTCCTAGGACTTGAATCTCGGACGTGCGCTTTGGAACTAATCCCTGACTGCCTCTTACTGACTCAGAGCTAAGGCCGTTGGACTGGGCAGTGCCTGCTCCTCAATTGTCCCCTCCCCAGCCTCCTTGGCATGTCCTCCCTGAGGTCCCCGAATCCCCATCCTGAGTAGAGCTGACCGAGTCCTCCCTGGTATCCTCAGGGCTTCTTCCTGTGCCTTCTGACCTTTGCCATGACTTTCTCTGGCTTGGATTGACCAGGTATTCTTAGTGACAATCCATGAGTGCCCCTGCCTCCTTGGCCATATCTCCCCTTCCTCCAGGAAGCCCTCCCAGCCTTCCTTCCCATCACTGACCTCCCTTTCTACAGACTCCCTCGAGTACTGCTCTCTGTATTCTCCTAGGGCCCCCCAGAGTGCGCCTAATTGGGTCAGGAGGTGTGAATCAATGCCTCTTGGGCTCTGAGATAGATTTCTTTCTAGTAAAGCACAGGACTGGGTACCTGGGGCAGAGGAGAGGGAGACTCAGAACATACTTGAAGAACGAAGGGCACTCACAGTCCAGGGCTAAAGGAGGGTTCAAAATTTTCTGAAGCTACAGTGACCTGTGGAATGTGCTGCCTCCGTTCCCCCAAATGATCTGCCTCTGGGAGACCAAGACAACAGAGAGCCCCGCATCACCCACTTCTCTGCCAGCAGAGTTCAGCCACGCGTGCTGGCCGGGCCCTCCTGGTCACTCTTACCCTCAGTGCCTCTTGGACTAAGAGTGCCTGCTCTGGCAGTAGCTGTGGCTCGGTCCCGCCTTTGGCCAGGGCCTGGCACTCTGAGCGCTTCTGTGTTTTGCACCCTGACTGCCTGGGCCCCACCCAGGGGGCCTGCAGCCAAAGCCAGCTTGCTGGTAAATGGCAGGAACTTGTGCCCTAGATGGTGGTAGTACCTCAGCTGGGCATCTCTCATCAGCCAGATCCTTACCTCAGGGAGTTGGCCTTCCGCCATGAAGGACACAGAACCCAGGCCACTACTGTGCAGAGGTACACGGGCCTTTGACCCCAGTTCCGTGGCCCTGCAGTCTCATGGCCAGGAGCTCCACAGCAGCGGGCCCCAGGCCTGGGCCTCTGACCTGGGGCCTCTGCTAGGAGTGGTCTTGCTCCTGCTTCTGGCTGGAGGTATGGCTGGGGCTCCTCCAAGTGCAGGCAGCCAGGATCAGGAGGGGCGGGGGCAGCTATTCCCAACAATTACACAATTCAGGAGCTAGCTAGAAAGTTATGCTTGCTGCCCTCAGGAGCTGGCTGTGGGCTGTGGATGGGAGGTGGGTGGCAGGGCTTTCCCTGGCCAGGGGCAGGCTCTGAGCCATGCCCAAGCTGTGCTGGGGAGATGGGGGGCTGGGGGTGGTAGAGGACCCTCTCGGAACCTCTGTTCCCTGGAGCAGGCACTCATCTTCCACACCATGTCCGCAAAGGCTTGTGGCTTCAGTGGCTGTGACCAGCTGGCCACAGCTGACTCTTCCTGAGGTTTTGCTATTTCTAAATATTGGTTCATGCTGTTAACCCCTGCTTTGCTCCGCCAGTGGGTATTCAACTGGCTGCAGAGAGAACTTCTGGGAAGGGGAATGAATAATCTTCGGTTGGATGGAAAATTTGTGAACATACTTGCTCAGGGTCTAGCACAGGGAAGGTACTTTGTGGGCTGGGGTGGGGCTCCCAAAAGAAGGATGAGAAATACCTGCTCAGGACGGGGAATGAAGCTTCAGTGGGCATTAGGAGACATGGGTCTGAGCTGGCAGCTGGGCAGGGCAGTGGAAAGAATGTGAGGTTAGGAGCCAGAGGTCTGGTTCTGCCAAGCCTTTTCTATGTGGCCTCAGGCGAGTCACTTTACCTCTCAGCACCTTTTCCCTCATTTGTAAATTGTAGAACCATGATGCTTGCATGAGGCCCTCCAACAGAGGCTCTGAAGCTTATAAACTGTGAAGGGCACTGCCTGGTTATCATGGGGGCAACTGTGATGCCAGGGTCATGTTCTCTGCATGACTCCCAGGAATCCTTTGAAACAGAGGCAAGCCTGTCAACCAAGAGTCAATTGGAACAATGTGGCAGGGCTGTCTTCAGCCTGTGTGGGGTTTAGCGGGTTTGCCACTTTATCCAATCACATATATCTTGGACATCAGCCTCTATTGGCCCCATTGGCAAGTGTCCTTGTATAGTGAAAAACCTATGATAGCCAGTCTCCAACATGGCCCTCAATGGTCCTCACCTGCTGGCATTCATGACCTTGTGTAGTCATCTCCCACACTGAATAGGGCTGACCCGTATGGCCAATAGGGCATTGCAGAAATGGTGGAGCATGATTTCCAAGATCAGGTCACAAAGGACGTGACAGCTTATGCCTGTGCTCTTCTGATTGCTTGCTCTAGAGGAAACACTGAGGACAGTTAAGCAGACTGTGGAAGGCCTGTGTGGAGAGAACTGAGGCCTCTTGTCAACAGCTAGCACCAACTCACCATTCACATGAGTGAGCCATCTTGGAAGTGGGTCTGCCAGCCCCAGTCACACTTTCAGGTGGCTGCAGCTCCTACTGATATCTTGACTGCCAGAGAGACCTGAAGCCAGAACAATTTACCTAAGCCACTTCTAAATTCTTGACCCACAGAAATTGTGTGCAATAATAAATGTGTGTTGCTATTTTGGGCTCTTAGACTTTGAGGCTAATTTTTTTTTAGACTGATTTGTTCCACAGCAAGAGTTAACTGATACAAATCTACACAACTGTGAATGGTAGTCCAGTCACCCAGACGGGGTACATGTCTGGGTTCAGAAAGTAGGACTCTGCTCCCATGGGGAGGAGTGATGTTTCCTTGATTGATCAACAATCCTTCATTCATTTCACAAATATTTCTTAAAGACTTAGCATATTTTAGGATACTGTGCTGGGGGCTGGGGACATAGGGTAAGTGATAGATTCTCTGCCTTTGAGAGCTCATGGGCTCCCCAAGTGACTTGGTCATTGTTGGATTTGGGGAGTAAGGACAAGGGAGTTGTCCAGGACAAGCCCAGATTTTCCATCTGCACACCTGAATGGGTGGTGGCATCATTCACTGAGATAAATGGGGGATGGGGAACATCTCATGAGAAAAGCTCTGGATATGTTGATTTTGAGGCATTTGTGAAAATCCCAAGTGACACTGTGCAGGCTGTCAGATATGTGGGTCTCAACTCCTAAGAAGGTCTGAGCCAGAAACAAATATATTTGGGAACTGTTGAGGTTGAAGCCACAAGAGGAGAGAAGACTTCCCAGGGAGAGGAGGGTGGTGGGAAAGGAGAGGAAAGTCCAGGACTGAACTCAGAGACACCAACATTCTTTTAATATTTGAAAAATTTTAAATTTTTTTAAAAAAATGAAAGTATCAGAGATTGAACCCAGGACTTCACGCATGTTAAGCACACGCTTTACCGCTAAGCTATACCCCTATCCCTGCCTAATTTTTTTTACATAATTTCAGACTTATAGAAAAGAAGCAAGACCATTATTTACTTCCCACATACTCTTAATGTGCTAGATTTTCCAAGTGCTAAAATTTTATTACATTTTAAATTCTTTTCTATGTATATACATATTTTTGGCCTGTAAGGATTTTTTGAGGGTAAGTTACAGACATAATGTTCCTTTATCCTTAAATATTTCAGTGTGTATTTCTGAAGAACAAGGGCCTTCTTTTTCAGAACCAAAGTGCAATGATCAAAATCAGGAAATTAACTTTGGTAAAATACTTTTAACTAGCCACAGAATCCCCCCCTCAATTTTGCCAGTTTTCCCAGTAATATCCTTGTTAGCAAAGGAAAATCCTGACTCCTACATTGCATTTCGTTGTCCTATCTCTTGAGTTGCTATTAATCTGGAGAAGCTTTTCGGTGTTTGTCTTTCATGATATTGCCATTTTGGGGCAAGTACAGACCAGTTAGTTTGTAATGTGACTCTTGGTTTGAGTTTGTCTGGTTCCTTTGTGATTTGATTCAGGTTATGCCTCTTTGATGGGAACAGCCCAGAAGTGATGCTGTATCTTTCTCAGTGCATCCTCTTGGGAGGTACACAGCATCCATCTACCCCATTGTCGATGATGTTAACTTACATCACTTGGTTGAGGTGGTGCCTGCCAGGATTATCCCTGTAAAGTTGCTGTTTTTCCTTTTGTAATTAATAAGCATATGCCAGCACTGAAAGGTCAGGCTGAGGAAGAAGAGCCAGGAAGAAAGCTTGTGAAGGGCCAGTGGGGACATGGGAAGAAGACCAGAGCATCTTGGAACCAGAAAGAGGTACTGCAAGAAGGAGGGAGTGGCCGACCATTGTGGTCCAGTGATGCTGAAAGGTCCATCCTGCAAGGGTGAGAAGTGGACGTTGGCTGCGGCTTCCACGTACAGGTCATAGTTTAGGTGAAGCGAGGGGCTGAAGGCAGCCTGCGGAGAGTCAGAGTGTGAAAGGGAGGCGAGAATAGAGACAGCAGGGAAAACGCCTCCTTTGGGAGGTCTGCCTGTGGACCAGGGAGAGGGGTCCAGGCAGTGACGGAGAGGTGTGCACGGCCAAGCAGATGGCTTTTTATAGATGGAAGGGATGTAGAGAGTATATAGAAGTGATAAGAAGGGGCCAGATGACGGGTTAAAGCAAAGCGGGGGGACAATGGACAATGAAAGGTTCTCAAAGGCAAAGGAGATGGGAGAAGGTCTTGGTGGGTCCTCCCAAGCCCTGGGAGGGAAGTGGGAACAGATGACAGTGGAAGCCAAGCCGATGCTTCTGACATCGCGGTAGGGAGGATTTGATCAAGTCTAGTCTGATGGCCTCTGTTTTCTCTGTGAGGGGGAGGTGGAGCAGGGGGCTGGAGGGAGGGCCAGGCACACAGAGGGGAATGAGCCACATTTGAAATGATCTCTGGGGAGAGGGAGAAAGCAGGCTGACCAGAGTGGAGGTGGGCAGGTGGGTGGCCTGGAGACAAGTCCAGGGTTCGGGGGCCGTAGGTCTAACTAGGTTTTTTTCTTTTAACTGAAGTATAGTCAGTTACAGTGTGTCAATCTCTGGTGTTCAGCACAAGGTCCCAGTCATGTGTATACACTCATATATTTATTTTCATATTCTTTTTCATTAAAGGTTATTACAAGATGTTCAATATAGTTCCCTGGGCTATACAGAAGAAATTTGTTTTTTAAAATCTGTTTTTATATATAGTGGCTATCATTTGCAAATCTCAAACTCCTAAATTTATCCCTAGAAGCTTTTAGCTTCCTGGTGCAGGTGTGCAAGCACACCTGGTGACTCAGGGCTGGGATTTAGCAGGAAAGAAACTGGACAAGGAGGGCTGTAAAGGCAGGAGGGGACTGAGGGTGGTGAGGAGGTGCAGGGTCACTGATGGGGTCTCAGGGATGGTGGGCCATCTGTGCACTAAAAGAAGTAGAAGGGCAGAGGGTGGTGTTCCTGGGAGGAGGGTGAGGAGCCCAGGATGTGCTGGGGAGGGTGGCTGAGAGGCCGTGGAGGGGAGGTATTTGGAGATGGGGAGGTCTGGAAACGGGGAGGCCAAGGGATTGGTGGGTGGTCCCTGGGGAGGCCTAAGTCACCAGGGTAATGGCAGGAGTCGGGGGATGGGATAGAAGACAACGAGCCAGGGCCACCAGGTTTACAAGGCAGGACAGATGGCAGCCCTGAGAAGATGAGGAGGGGCACCCTCGATGCTGGAACACTTGGGGAGCAGTGCTCTTGACAAGGAAGGGACACTGCCTGGTGGGTGCCAAGACCAGAGACCTGCTCCACCTTGGGCTCTGAGGGATGAGGGTGTGAGAGACAGAGATGCAGCTTTAGAGAGGATCAAGGGCTGTCTGCAAGAGTGAGCTCAAGGGAAGGGAGCATTGGGAGCAGAAGTGGGTGGCTTGTGACCTACTGGGGTATTAAGTGGCTCAATTTCCCCAAGACAGCGTGCACAGGGGTGACAGACAGGAACAGTATGTGTGTGTGGTGGTGTCAGGAAGGTTTTCTGGGTCTGAAATACTTGGAGACGACCCCTGTCCCCCCGCAACCCCAGCCCAGAAAAGTGAAGGTCCCAGCCCTACATCTGGCCCCTGTCAGCATGAGGGGACCATCAAGATCTGGGCCCAGCAGGCCCGCATCTTCCTCCAGGAAAAGCTGACAAGGGTGTGAGCAGAGGCCGCACTGCCCATAGCCTGAGGCCAACTGAGGCTGGGCCAATCCCAGCCTTGCCCAGCCCTCCCTCTCCGGAAATCAGAGGTGTAGCTGCCCCACTGATGTGAGAGGCACAGGGAGGGTCTGCTGCTGCTGAGGTGGGCCCCTGCCCTCTGTTCTGAGCCTTTCAGTTCCAGAAGGGACTTCTGGAGTAGCCAGCACACCTGGCTAGTCTACTTTGAGTCCTCACTGTGCCTGCTGGTTGGAATGGGTTCAGAGCATGGTCTGGTTTCCAATAGATCAGAAGTTATGATCGAAAGAGAGCCCTGGGGTTTGTGTTCTGGTTCCGTCTCTGTTACTAATGTAGTGGAGATTTGGGCAAGTCTTTGCCCCTTTTGGGGCCTCAGTTTCCTTATCTGTGTACCGGGGCTGTGACAGACACCCTCTCTAAAGGCAGCAGTCATCTGTTCCCAAAATGAGAACCCCTCTTACGTGGTACAGATCAACTCCCTCGTCTGAACTATGAACTGGTAGGTGCAAGCAGGCCCCCGGGCTGAGCCTCCTGGATATTTAGGGGTGAAGGGGTCTCTAGCATTTCCTCAGCTCCAGGGCTCATCCATCAATCACAGGGCAACTGAGTATCCTCCCTACCCCTCAATGTTTTTTCTCAGGCTCCTGCCCGCCCCCCCTGGGGTGCTCTTGACCACAGGCACAGGAAGTGGCTTCTTGAGGCCTCAGCACCACTCCTCCATCTTCTGTTATTTGCTCCTCATTCCCTGCCTAAAATGCCAGCAGCAGGAAAGTTTTCCTCAAGCTAGACATGGATCTCTAAAGACACCGTGCCCTGGGATAGGAGTCTGGGCAACCATCAGGCAGTCACACTTTAGTGTGAAATGATTGACTTGACACTTTCCCAAGAAAAAACAGATGTTGATAGAAGGGAGGGCATGTCCAGAACCTAGGGGGATAGGTGGGAGGGGCAGGGAGTAGAAGACCACCCAGGGGGCTGTTCAGGTGGCAAGAACCCTTCACCCATGACCCGTCCACTCTTTCACCAACCTTCACCCACCGGGAGGGAAGAGCTGGATCTGTCACTCCATGTCTCCCTTTTCCTTTCCTGACCCATGGTCCTGGAGACCCTCAGGCTATTTCACCAGAGTGGGGACAGGACAGTGGGGCCAAGTTCTCAGGGTTCCACAATTGAGCTGCCAGCATAGAATTTCTACGCCACAGTTCAGGCGCCACGGCAACTGGGGGAAATAAACACTCTAGGTTTCACAGTCCAAGTTCTGCGGTGAGGTCATCCCCAGCTCAAGCCTGCCGGGCCCTGCAGCTGGCTGCACCTCAGACAGCCTCAGCAGCTTGAGCTGGAGGACTGTCTTCCTTCCCAGCCTCCAAGCAGCCTCTGGTGTGGAGGAGAGAGAGTGGAGACAGGGGCTTGTGCAGGGGGCCAGGAACAGGCCCTACCCAGGCCCAGCCCCTTGCCTGCCGTTAGACCTCTCAGAAGCTGTTGCCCCCTCCTCACCCCCAAACATGAAACTGCCCAAGGGGGCCAGAAGCCCTGTGTTCTATGGGAAGCACCCAGAGAAGAAGGTACAGGTGTCCTCAGGGCAGGAGGTAAAGCAGACCCCTGTGGTCATGGCGATGATCAAAGGTGAGAGTAGCCCCCATGCTACCCGCCTCTACCAGGCTTGGGCTCATTCCTCTCTCTGCAGGGATGTTGAAGGTGTCTCACCCTTCCAGCTCTGACTCCTGCAGAGCCTCTTCAGACTCTCCTTGAAGCCACAGAAGAGCTACGCTTCCAAGCTGAACTTCACAAGCAGTATTAGCTGCTGGGAATTTTCGACAGTGGGGTGGGGAAAGGATGGAGCAAGGGGTGTGAAGTGAGGCCAGTTTTGGCAAAAGATGGGGATTTAGTGGCATCTTTAGCCCAGCTTTAGCTTTCCTCACTTTCCTTGAATCTTACTCTCAACTGAAAGCGGACAAACTAATTCTTACTACATTGCTAATGACTGATTGTTGCTCTACGTGGGAGGCGATTTAGTATGTGATTACATGTTTGGGCTCTATTGGCTGATGTCTCAGAATTTTCACACTCCCTGCTTGTGTAACTTTGGGCAAGTTGGTATTTCTAAGCCTCAATTTTCTCATCTGTAAAATGGGAAAAATAAGAGTTATCTATCTTACACAGTTGTTGAGAGGCTTAACTAAAATAACCCAGAGAAAATGCTTAGCATAGTACTTGGCACAGAATAAGTTCTCAGTTACTCATAACTATTACTTTTTTTATTATGTGTTGCCTGTCCAAGAGAAACTGCATTTTGTCTGAGAACACTGCCTTTCCCCAAAGGAAGCAGCTGGATGGTGGGATTTGTGGCAGTGTGATACCAGCGAGAGTGAAGACCCCAGTGTTCTCAAGGCACACTGTATTTGGGGCTTTCTCTGCCTCTGATCCAGTGGGTCCAGACTGAGGGCCTCTCTGTCCGTGCTCACAGGTCCAGGGCCCGCCAAGTACCTCCGGCCACCCTGCACGGGCTACGTAGACCACGACATGTCCATGTTTCAGGAGCCAGCCTACACCCTGCACACCCGGCACTCAGAGAAGCGTGAGTGCTCACCACGCCCATAGTCCTTGTGGGCGTATGGTTATTATTGTTGGACATTTGGGGCGGCAGTGAGAGGTGAGGGGTCATAATTTGTGGCCCCAGGCTCCTGGGAACCCAGGCCTGCCCTGAGTAGGATACCCAGGTGGCCCACGGGGTCCGGAAGGAAGCAGGGATGCCAAGTGACCCATCCCTCTGAAGGAGACTGTGGGCCTCTCCCACCTGGACCTCTTGAGGGACTCTGCTGCATCCAGCTGGCAGAGTGTCCTTCCTGTCTGGTCCTTGGCTGGGGCTCTTCAGCTCTGGCTGCTATGGGTTCACTTGCCATAGCAGCTGGGCAGGAATAGCTGGGGTGTGGGAGGAAAGTGGGGGGTGCCCCCCAAAGCTTCCCAGGTGGCTTAGAACTCCCTGAAAGGGCAGGAGAAGCAGAGGCCACGGAAGAGTTGGGGCTGCCGGCCAAAGCCAGTGAGAGGAGGGCGTGGGCAGGGGTGTGTATCTGGGGGTCTGAGATCTAGAGTGCCTGCCAGGCCCCTCCGTGGGGTGACATGCCCTCCACAGCATAGGAACCCCCTGGCTGGGGCTGGGCCCCTTCTTCAGACTAGCAATAGCCATTGTGCCACCAGTCCCTGAAGGGGTGGGGGCTGACCAAGCAGCTGGGCAGCTGTTATGTTATCTGTTCCTATGAACAGGTTCTTGAGAATGTTAGGTCATGTGTTAAAAGCCCCATTTCACAGATGAGGAAATCAAGGCTCCTGAAACACCCAAGAGCCCAAGAAATTGAAAGGGAGCCCTTGGTCTTTCTTGGGGGAAGGGGATCTTTCCTGGAGGCAGGCCTCTGGGGCTGACAGGGCCTCTCCTTGGCTGCCGTGCAGGGATCACGGACATATGCAGCCCTGGGCCTTGCTATTTCTTGGATCCTAAAATAACTCGGTTTGGAATGTCCAGCTGCCCTCAGGTTCCCATGGCGGAGCGCGTCTCTAACCTGCGTAAGATGGGACTGGAGAGGGAGGGGGGCTGGGAGATTGGGGGACAGGAGTGCATGTTTAGTACATGAGCAAGGGCAAAGGGTCAGGAGCCCCCTCAGCAGGGGTGTCTGTGAATGCTGGCATCCCCCTGCAATGTCACACCAAGACACTGATGTCACCGTGTTTGTGTCACAGCACTTATGTCTTGAGGCCAGTGTTATGCATGTCTGTCGCAGGGTGATGTTATGATAAAAAATGTCATGGCAGGGCTTACGTCATGGCAGCGATATTGTCGTGCTAATGAGTTCACACATGTTGTGATTTCAGGATGTTTTCCTGTGCTGTCACAGGGACAATGACAGCCCAAGGGCTATGTTCTGAGGACACTTGTGGCTTTTATATTATGACGACAGGGTCACAATCCTGCTATCAGGATGGCCAAAGCCCCTCCCCACCCCCATCCCCTAGAACCATTCAGGGGCAGTAATGTTCCTGCTAAGCTGGTTACAGTGAAGTCACACCAGGCTAACCAAGACCTCAGCTCCCTGCCTAGACCCGTTAGTTGAACGCCAGGAGGTGCGGTGGCCTAGCTCCTGCTCTGAGACCCCTCCCCTTCATTCACCCACTCGCAGGCATGAGCCCCACTCCTGCCTCCTGCCATTATCACTTGGAGAAGACCCGCCCACCCGGGGAACGCAGGGCTCCCCAGTACACCTTTGGCTACCGGTGCCCATACAGAGTGACGGACCCCAATCCAGGCCCCAACTGCTACCAGCTGCCACTCCTGCTGGGCCCCAACCTCCCTGCCAACCGAGCTGCCCCTTGCTATAGCTTGGCCTCCTCGGACAAGAGCTGGTTCCACAGGGAGCGTGTGGCGGGAGGCCCGGGGCCGGCCGCGCACGCCCGGCCTGAGCCGTCCGTCTACCAGAAGCGCAGCCCTGCCTACAGCCTGGCCAGGCGCTTCTCCTGCCTGGTGGACCGCACCCCTCGGCCCGGGCCCGGCTCCCACGACGTCCAGCTGGTCACGCTGCACAAGCCCCGCACCCCCGCTTTCGCCATGGGCATCAAGCACTCCCCCCACCTGTGCCCGCTGGTCGTGGACATTCGCGACTGAGGCCCCTCCTCGTACACCCACACCCCGTTCCCAGAAGTTATTTTTCTACGACATTGAGCAACTTATCAAGGTTTTGGGTAGCAGAGCTGGTGCCTGCTGTGCCCAGCACACAAAAGGCATTAGATAAATATTTTCATTTATTTATTCCTTTCTTTTGCAAATGCTCACGGCTACTTCCTTTGGGCCTTGCCCTGGATGAGGGGCTGCAGATGCTGGGAGGCACGGTGGGGGTCCCTGTCCGGGAGACACTGTTCTGGCTCACCAGGGGAGGCAGCCGGGTATCCTTCGAAGAGCCCTGCAGAGACTCTGGAGAGCTGCATTCTCCTCCCAATGCACTGTGCCTACTTGTGCAGCTCCTGAACCTCTCTGGGACTCAGTGAAGGGGGAGGGTAGGCCTGGAGGGTTCCAAGTTCCCTCCAGCTCCAGAACTGTGTGACTCAGGACAAATCCTGAGTCCCCTCCACACTGATCCCTGACAGTGGTTAGCACCCAAGAGAGGAGCAGGGTGAGCAGGTGTGGGCATAGGAAGGAGGGGTCATTCTGGTTGGGGATGGGAAGGGAGGGCAGTTTTCTGGGGGGAGGAACCCAAGAGGACAAGACAGTGTGTAGGAGGGAGGGTGGTGGAGGTAAAGATGAGAGGGAAGGCATGCAGGTAGGACCGAAGGATGCAGGGCCGGGAACCAGGGGATGCTCAGAGGGCAGGTGCCTGGGCTGTAGGAGGCAGTCGCTAATGAGACCAGATGGTGGGCAGCGTGGAGGGGACTCAGGATTTGTGCTCCATGCAATAGGGCTAGATAAGTTGTGGTCTTTTCAGAGTTCTCTGGGCAGTAGAGAAGGTTGGAGAGGATGGGCAGAGCCTGGAGGCTAGGGTTCAGCCTAGGGAGGAGGCAGAGGGCAAGGGGGCTGCTGGGAGGAGGGCCTGCAGATCACATGCAGTCTTTGGAGAGTCACTTGTGTATCCCCAGCCCCAACGGCCACCCCTGTTGTGCCGGGTCCAAGAGGAGAGGTGGAGCCATGAACTAGCCAGGAGGGGGCAGTGTTGCCTCACTCATGAGTCCAGGTGGTGCCCATCTCTCCACCTCTTCTTTGGGACAGACAGGTGCCAGCTCTCCTGCTGTCTCTGGTGGAGGCTGGGGTCTTGGGGCTGGTATTTATCCTTCCTTAATTCTTGGTATCCAGATCCCCTGACTAGCCCCTCTCCCAGCTCCTCCGCCATAGGAGAATTGAGGGGGACTTCCATCCCTGCTCTGCAGCCTGCAGAAGTGAGGAAGTGAGGGCAGGAGGGAGAGGGGCTTAGGGAAGGAGGAGAGGAGGCTGACTAGGCCCCAGATCCCATGCCTCAGGGAGAGGCATGCAGCCACTGTCCCCAAAGCAGAGGGAGGCAGGAAGAAAGGGCCACTAGGAACCAATGTCTGATGGCTCATCCTTGCAAATTTGAGGAATATTGAGGTTTTAACCGAAAATTAAAATTGAATTGAAGAACTAACTTCAGATGGAAAGGAGCAGAGAATATCTTTGGAGTATTAAAAAGAAACAAACAACTGAATATTTTTAAAAGGGGCTTGTAGAAAACCCCACCGGGGTCACACTTGACTCTGGGCCTGAAGTTTCCTCCCCCTCCCACCCCAGCCCCCAGGCCTGGGGTGCTGTGTCTGTCCTGTCCTCGCCACTCCTCAACAAGGCTGTTCTGAGCAGGCTCGGGGGACAGTGGGTGAGCTTGGGGATCCATCTGTCTTGCAGCAGATTAGAAGGATGTCATGTTGCCGACAGTGCCATTTATCATGGCGGCTGCAAAAATTAGTGATGCTTGGGCTGAAAGTGTTGGGCGGGGGTGGGGGCTGGCAGGTGGCAGCAGCTGATGCTCTCCTGTGTCACCAGGTCAGGGAAACTACAGGCCACCCTCTGAGTAGGGATTTTCTGATTTAGTGCCCAGCCCATCCCAAGGCCCTCTGTTAGAAAGATAAGGAGACTGAGGCCCAGAGCCAGGGAAATAACTTTGGTCTTATGACAAATTAATGGCCTGTCTCTAAATAAAGCTTAAGTCTCAGTCTGTGACCAAGGTTAGGGCTCAGTGTGTGACCAGGATCAAGGCTCAGCCAGTGGCCAGGTTTGCGGCTCTGTCTGTGATTAGAGTCAGGGCTCACTCTGGGGTGAGATCCTTGACTTATATTAGGACTAACCCTAGTTTTTGCCTCGATGGCTCAGTGTGGGGCAGGCCTTCAGCCTGGCCCCAGCTGCCACCAGATATACGGGTAGCACTAAAGCTAGAACTAACCTTCTGTTTGTGATCCCAAGGGAAGGAGAGGAGTCTTGAGGATTCAGAATGAATCTTTCGGGGATGAAGATGTTTGGAAGAGAGATGGCCCCGCCAAGAAAGGGATGCGGCCTCCAAGGAAGATAAATGGGGCCTCCCTTGTGCCTCAGCCCACAAGTGACGGGGTCATTAAGCTTGAGATAGACCTTCAGACAAAGCAGGCCTCATCTCTTGGCCTTGCCTCCCCTGTGGTGGTGACCAGGTCAATGACCTGGAGAAGGTCAGTGGGCATGGCCTCCCAGGCCTGGCTGAGTGCTGACCCCATCACTTCTGAACAGCTTGGGGGCCATGCTTGACCTGGTAGGAAGCCCTGGTCTGATTCTTGTAGGACTTCAATCTGTGCCCTCAGGTAATTAGGCCCTGGAGCCTGACAGGTAATCACACAGGCATGATCATTCACTCATTCAGCAAATACCTGCTGAGCTCCTGCCCTGTGCCAGGCTCTGGCTGTGCCCCGGAGTCCCTGCCACGCCCTCCGGGAGGTCAGAGGGCCGTGCGGTGGGAGGATGAAGCAGCTCTCTCCCGGCATGGGCAGACATTGGAGGGAGGGCGAGGGTCAGCGCAGGACAGGCTGCCCACTGCAGCTTCTGCCCTCTCCAGGGGCGGGGGGAGGCCTGGCCTCTGTGGGCCACCCCTGCCAGGCTTGGCGGTAAAACTGCAGTCACGTGACCCTCCTGGACACTGGTGGCAGTGAGTGGGGGGCTGGTCTCTGTCATTCTGTTGTTGCTGGAGGGACCCTGAGGGCCAGCTGTTACTCTGTCCCCCAGGAGCTGGAGAGATGGTGGCCCTGGGCCAGGAACAAAAGAGGGGCCCTATCTGCGGGGACACACTGCCACACCACACACAAGCTCACAGGTGGGGATTCTGCGTAAACATGTCCTTCATCCACATATGCGTGGAGATAAGCTGCAGACGCTCCTCTCAGTACCGCTCGCCCATGCACACACCCTGCACAACCTACTCCACACACCGCCCCCCGACACAAACCCACTGAAACGGGCCTTAAATCACACCCACAAGGAAAGGCATAGATACACACACACACACACATACACACACCCCAGACACAACACGCACATTTACTACCACACAGCTTGCTCCAGGCAGGCACCTCCTTATCTCACGCACATACTCATGCCCCCCAGACTCGCCCACACAGCCCACCACCCTGGAGAATTAGACAAACCGTGAGAACCATGCCCCCCAGACCTGCACAGGTGCAGAGGGGGCGGCGGTGGGCTGTGGTGGGGGGATGCTGGGGAGGGTCTCTGTGCTCAGGGCTCAGAAAGGAGTTGGGGCTCGATTCCTAGCCCTGGGGGCAGCGGAGCTGCTGGCTGGCTCTCAGCCCTCCAGTTCGGGGCCCACCTCTGGATGGAGTGCACTTGGTTGTGAGCCCTCACTGACCAGGACAAGCCAGGCCCCTTCTCCCTGCCCCCAGCACTCAGAGACCCCATCCCGGGGACCCGAGAACTGGAGTAGGAGCTCCTGCCACTGGCTCTCCTGTTCCTGTCCTTTGCTGGGGTGGGGGTGGGAGCTGGTTGGAGGGCACATCTCCCTGGGTTCCTGGCGGGGGTCAGACACTGCCTTTCCCAGCTCGCTCTTCCTTCCGGCTTCTCTCTCCTCGAATCCACCGTTCCCGTCTGGCTCTTCTGCCCGCTCTTGGCTCTCTCCCTCTTGCTCCCTGTGTCCTCTGCCTCGTTTATCCTCTAGAATAAAGATCGACATTTTCAATTACCCCCGAAATAACAGAGCCGCTCTCGGAGGCCCCGACAGGAGGAGGATTGTGTGTGTGTGGGTGTGTGGCCTATGGGTGGGGATAGAGGTGGGAGCTGGGGGCACCCATGGCTTCACGGTCCTTTGTTTGCTTTTTCTCTTCTGGAGCCTGGAAGAGTGTAAGCACGTTTCCCTTCAGGGGAGGAAGGGAGACAAAAGAGAGAAATAAAAAACTGTCATGGTTTTCTTGTAAACACAGTATGTGGTGCAGAGCAGGGGCTCAGCAGGAGACAGGGACTGAGGGAGAGGCAGGGACAGAGAAAAGGGGGGCTGAGAGACACGGGGAGAAAAGGTGAGCGGGCAGGCCAGAGCCACTACTCAGGGCCTGGGTGAGCATGGGCCCCAGGCAGGGCTGCCAAGGGGAGGGGCAGAGGGGAAGGGTTGATCCAGGATGGTGGAAGGGACTCAGGAGGGAGAACCTTATGTCCAGGGCCCAGTGGGCCCAGGAGGAAGCGGGCCCCAGGCAGCTATTATTCTCTGAATGTCCACCCCATCCCGGCTCCGGGGTGAGTAAGACAGACATGTGCCTGCCCTTGTGGAGTGTAAAATATACCAGAAACCAAGCAGTGGCTTCGTGTGTTCAGCATTTGCCATGTGCCACGCACTTACATAAGCTGAGAATCAGAGAAGGTGAGGGACCTGCCTAGTGACACACAGCCAGAGGTGCAAGGACCAGGATTCCAGTCCAAGCCTATCTGACTCCAATCCTCCCTTCATACAGCCTCAGCTCGGGGGCTGGGGGCTGGGAAAAAGTGTTAGAGGCTTGGCTCTGCCCTGTCTGACGTGTGACCTTGAACAAGTCCTCTCCTCTCCTCTCTGGGCCTCAGTTTCCCCGCCTGAAAAGTAGAGAGAATGCTGGCTGCTCAGCAGGGCTGTGGGGAGAAGCAGATATCTGGACGCAAGTGATTACCCTGCTCTGGTTCCCTGGAGAGCTAGCTGAGGGTGTGTGTGGGCAAAGAACATCTGGTGCTGGGGGAGGGACTGGCTAG